TATTATCAGAAGTTCATTCAAAACACCACATTTTATTTTCAAGCGTAGGCTACATAGTGGCGTATCAGGTCCTAAAAAGAAAGCCAGCTTGGCAGCATTACAGATGCAGTTAATGGAGTTTCATCTGTTAATCAAACAGTCCCAGAAGTAAAAAGAAAAACCGTATGTAGTTACTATATATAATATTTTTTCAAAATGCTGTGTAAATATGTACCCGGTTAAGGTGAATTAAAATGCAGCCTTAGTTATTAATGAGCAAAACGTTCGGATGTTAAACTCACTCTTTGTGGCTGGGAGCAGGTGTAGATTTCTTTCGTACCAACTGACATTTGGAAAATACGAACATTTTAATAAATCCGAAAATTTACCCCAGAACCACTTTACACACGATTTACACAAAAATTCGTTCTGCTCGTGTTTCATGAATGAGACCCAATGTGTGCATATTTAAAAGAAATATTATTTGCATAGTTCAAAAACACAATTCTAGTATTCCCTAAAATTCCTTTAAATCCTTCAATTATTCAATTCCTTTATATAATAAGCCCATTACACCCCACACCAAAAAAATCACAGCCTTGATTATTACTAAATGCTGGAAGAACTAATTATAATAGAATTAAATATTATGAAGTCTGACATGGCTACGTGAAGAACGTTTTTTGTGCGTTTTCTACGTGATGAAATGATTTAGAAAGGAGACTTTGAAAATTCGATTTGTGCTGAAACTCCTCAGTGACTGTATTCTGTGCCTCTGGGGATATATTGAGGCGATCTTTCCACTGATGCGTTTTATTGCCTCCAATGCTGCATGACCACTGTGACTCATTCAGACACAATCAAGCCCTCCACATATTTGCAATACCGGTGAAATGAAGCTGAATCTGAGGGGCACGACTGGAGAAATGACCCTTGACGTTTAACGGGATGAGACGGCGGAAGGGATGATATCCGTACTTTGACATATTAATCGAACAGCAGTGGCATTAAAGGGTTAGTTCACCCAAAAATGAAAATGATGTCATTAATGACTCTCCCTCATGTCGTTCCAAGCCCGTAAGACCTCCGTTCATCTTCGGGACACAGTTTAAGATATTTTAGATTTAGTCCGAGAGCTTTCTGTCCCTCCATTGAAAATGTATGTACGGTTTACTGTCCTTGTCCAGAAAGGAAATAAAGACATCATCAAAGTAGTCCATGTGACATCAGTGGGTTAGTTAGAATGTTTTGAAGCATCGAAAATACATTTTGGTCCAAAAATGACAAAAACTACGACTTTATTCAGCATTGTATTGTCTTCCGGTTCTGTTGTGGATCACGAGTCCGCAGTGACGCCGCTGACGTGTTATCTGGTAACCAGTACACGGAAGACAATACAATGCTGAATAAAGTCGTAGTTTTTGTTATTTTTGGACCAAAATGTATTTTCAATGCTTCAAAACATTCTAACTAACCCACTGATGTCACATGGACTACTTTGATGATGTCTTTATTTCCTTTCTGGACAAGGACAGTATACCGTACATACATTTTCAATGGAGGGACAGAAAGCTCTCGGACTAAATCTAAAATATCTTAAACTGTGTCCCGAACGGAGGTCTTACGGGCTTGGGACGACATGAGGGTGAGTCATTAAAATTTCATTTTTGGGTGAACTAACCCTTTAAATAATTAAATCCCTGTGTCCTTTTGCCTTTAAAGCTTATGTGTTTTTGAGATGAGTTACATGCAGAAGTTTAATAGCATAGCAGGTCTTAACAAGTACCATTAACAATTCTGTAATACAGTTTAAAATCATCATATGAAATTAGTGTATGTGCCCTATGAGTGGAATACTCAGATCTGAGAAATGTAATCTTATGATGTTTTCGTAAGGAATTGACAGTAAAATGAAGTGAGTCTGAAGATTGATGAGCATGCATAGCCAAACTGACAGCTGGAACAATATACAGTGATGGAAACGATAACGAGTGTTTGAGACAGAAGGCAACATGCCACATTTTTCCAGACTCTATATCCGCATATAGCCGGTGCTTTTGAAGATGGTATCACCTGCATAAATGTATCAATGAATACTAATGATGCTCTTACAGAGACTGTTAACTTGCATTGTTAATGTTAACGGTCCTTGAACGGACACTTGCGGCACTCCGGCCTTTATCAGTGCTTATCTGAACATGAAACCCTAGCAATTATTTGTTTACAAAAATATATGAAATAGTTGGCTGTAACATACTAAAGACACTTTTGGTTTATAACAAGGATTTGTGGTGTGACGGGTGTCACCGTCTCTCCAGGATTACAGACGTTTGCCTTTGAGCAAGACTCTAGGTTTCTGTAGGAGACTGTGGATGAAAAACATATTTTGATTTGATTTGATTTGATTTGATTTGATTTACTTTATTAATCCCCCAGGGGCAAATTTATGTGTCACAACAGCATAGAAATACAATGAATAAATAAACAACAACAACAACAACAACAACAAACAACATACACAACAGCAACAAGTCTTGTTCTCAAGTATCAATTTTTCAAAGCACCATGATTATATACGACCAGAATAAATACATAAATATATATATATATCATCTCACATAACACTGATTATAAAATCTAATTGCGGTTGGGAAAAAAGACTTTCTAAAACGCTCTTTGTAGCAGTGTGGATGAATTAATCTTGAGCTGTAGGTAGTCACAAAGGCTCGCGATATTTCATTAAGAGGATGACAGTCATGATTAATCATAAGAGAAAGTTTTATCAATAATTTTTATCAATCATTTTATCCTGCACTATCTCCTCTAAAGTGGGTAATACACTCCCCACGACAGAGCCTGCCTTCTTTATGAGTTTATTTAACTTATTCTTCTCCTTTTCCATCAGTCCCCCTCCCCAACATGTGATAGAATACAAAATCACAGATGAGACTACAGAGTCATAGAACGTCTTAAGTAGTACCTGACGTACCCCAAAGGATCTCAGACGTCTTAACAAATGAATACGACTCTGACCCTTCTTATAAACATGCATTGTATTATCAGACCAGTTGAGCTTGTTGTTCAGATATACACCCAAATACTTGTAAGTTGTTACAATCTCAACTTCTGACTCTGTTCAATTTACTGGTACCGCTTTCTGAGGAAGTCTACTAAAATCAACCACTATTTCCTTTGTCTTACTAGCATTTAGCCTGAGACCGTTTTAAAAACACCAGTCCACAAAGTTCTTTATTAGCTCCCTATATTCACTCTCATCGTGGTGCTTTATACAGCCAACTATTACAGAATCATCAGAAAATTTCTGAAGATGACAAGATTTAGAATTATACTGAAAGTCTGATGTATAAAAAGTGAACAAAAATGGTGCTAAAACCGTCCCTTGAGGAACTCCAATGCTGCACTTCACTACTTGAGACACACAGTCCTGCATCCTCACATACTGTGGTCTATTAGAGAGATAATCAGTTATCCAGTTGGCCATACCCTGATGTACTCCAACATTTTCCATCTTACTTCGTAGTAGTGAAGGCTGAATAGTATTAAATGCACTAGAGAAATCAAAGAATGTAATTCTAACTGTGCTGTCCGGGGTCTCGATATGAACCTGTGTTAAAAGGCAGTTAACTGTTTATGCCCATGACATTTTGAATTATTAAGTTTTATTACAATCCAGTGGTTTGAAACTACTTTCTTTTTTTTTTTTTGACTTTAGAAAGCTGATGCCAGGGTCTCTTAAGGCCCTGACTAGCAGCTGTCATGTTTATTCATTTATTGATTCATCCAGTTAACAGTCACTTTGCAAGATGTGGACATACTGTATCATGCATCCCCCACATAACCTGTGGGCACAGGTTCATATTCATATTCAGGGTTGCCAGGTCTGTGCAACAAAAGTAGCTCAATGGCCAGTCAAAAGTAATCGCATCAGCCGATTATAATTTTACCTGCGGCAACAACTTAAAAGTAGCCCTTGACGACACTGTTCATATTGCAATGAACATGAGGAGGCAAAGTCGGAAAGTCCTCAGTTTTTTGTGTGTGTTGTTTTTATGCTTTATTTTAATCTAATGTAAATTAATTTTACTCCTACTGTTGACACATTTTCCTAGTTAAAGAAACATTTGGCTTACTTGCCGTTTAAAAAAAAAAAAATCTGTCTGGTTGTGCACTGGTCCCGATGTCCTGTGAATACCAATCTTTCTTTAGGTTGTATTTAATTTTATCACTGTCTGACCACTAGTAAAAATAACCTTTTCATCCTCAAATCTTATTAAAGGTACCATACAAGTTTTAGACAAGCCTAGCTAATTGTACCTTTGTTTGAAAGGGCACCAGCTGTGTTAGTGTAGCTCATTTTCCTGGTGTTAGAAGCTACATCTCCATCTCTATCTATCTATCTATCTATCTATCTATCTATCTATCTATCTATCTATCTATCTATCTATCTATCTATCTATCTATCTATCTATCTATCTATCTATCTATCTATCTATCTATCTATCTATCTATCTATCTATCTATCTATCTATCTATCGATCTATCTGTCTGTCATCTATCTATCTGTCTGTCTGTCTATCTGTCTGTCTGTCTGTCTGTCATCTATCTATCTATCTATCTATCTATCTATCTATCTATCTATCTATCTATCTATCTATCTATCTATCTATCTATCTATCTATCTATCTGTCTGTCTGTCTGTCTGTCTGTCTGTCTGTCTGTCTGTCTGTCGTCTATCTGTCATCTGTCTGTCTGTCTGTCTGTCTGTCTGTCTGTCTGTCTGTCTGTCTGTCTGTCTGTCTATATATCTATCTATCTATCTATCTATCTATCTGATTACATTAGTTTGATTGCTGATTGTGACTCTGCTGCCCTCTTTAGTCTTGTCTGTGGTGTTACACACTTGACAGTGACACGAGTCAATACGGAGCTTAAGCATGAGCAAAAGCACATTTGTTGGACTTAATGAGTTTTTTTATGTGATTTGTTGTGTTAACCTGTAGGTGAAGGAAGCCATGCAGAGAATCCATGACAGAGGAAACATAGGCAAGCTCATTTTGGATGTGGAAAAGTCTCCTACGCCTTTGGTGAGTGAGTCATCTGAAAACCTGCCTTTGAATTTAGACCAGTGTTTCTAAGGCAAGCAAAACATTATGTGCAAAACAATATAATTACCATGTCATCTATTGGTGCCGCCTTTTCATTTTTCTGTTTTCAGAACGTCTAGCATTGTTCAGTTTTCCAACATTATTATTTTTTTATATTCAGTGTACACACTCTCCAAGACTGTGAGAGAGAAAAGAAATGTTCTTTTATGAAGCACAAAGGCAGATTTGAATAATGCACCTGTTTAGAAGGAACAAAAATGATATTGTGACACTGATCCTCGAGTCAGGTGACATCACCTCAGCAGTTTCCATGGAGACTGTGCCTTATGACGCTGTTCTCAGAGGAGAGTCATAAATAGTGCAAATAGTGGCGTACAACATTATGTTCTCATGAAATCTACCTTTAGTGTCCTTATTTAAACCGGCGAGAAACTGAAGAGGAACATCTGAAAAAATAGTTTTCAATTTCTGTCCCCTCCAAGAAGACGATTTTATTGTGTGTGTGTGTTGATTTCTTGATCTGCTGCATCTTAGATGTTTCTCCTTAAAAATGGAAGGTTTTAGAAGAAGAAACAACTGATAATGTCTAAACTGTTGCTCATAGCTCAGGACCCTTAAAGTATTAGTTCACCCATAAATGAAAATGATCCCATAATTTTCCTCGCCCTCAAGCTATCCTAAGTGTATATGACTTTCTTTCTTTCTTCTTTCTTCAGTTAAATAAAAAAATATCCTTGATATTTTGAAGCCAAAAAAAGCACATCCATGATCCATCATAAAAGTAATCCATACGGCTCCAGTTAATAAAAGCCATCTGAAGCAAAGCGATGCGTTTTTTTAAGAAAAATATCAATATTCATAACTTTATAAACTATAATCACTGGCTTCGGGTAACGGCCATAAGAGAGTCTAGTTCCGGCTGAAGACTGACCTCTGACCCGACGCGTGACGAGTGACCTCTTCATGAATTCGAAGTCTAAAACGAGAATTTTTAAAGAGAAATGTGGGAGGAGCTTGAGTTTGTGGCCCTGTTTGTTTGAACTGCGAGAGGTTTCAAAGCTTAGGGCCGTTACATAGTCAACGCGAGCAAGCAACTCGAGTGACGCGCTCCCTTTCATAGTCTAAACAGTGGACGCAAGCAGACGCAAGCGTCACGGGCGATGCGTGAAATGCAATACACCGCTCACTCAACAGGGGGAAGTAGAGTTGGGTGATATTAGTTGAGTCGGATAGGTGGTATTCAGATCAAAATGGCAACTGAAGAGGAGTGCATATTGCTGATTTTACATCGGCGGCTACAAAGGCAGCGCAGAGATAGGCGGTGGTATGTTCGCCCTTTAAAGGAGAACTCCGGCACAAAATGAACCTTTGGTCTAATTACACATTGTTACCTAGTCAACCGTTATCTGAGATTTGTTTTCATGATTATCGAATGTAAATAGTTTTATCTCTAAAAACAGTTTAGCCTATAAAGCTAGTATAACGCTAGTATATTGGGCATAGTGTAAGGACAAATAAAAATCGCTTGTTAATACCACTAACAAGGCTGAAAATAGCCCCACACTAACACGGTAGCATAATGAGGGTCCCTACCTTCAAACCGAAGCATTGAGAACTTTGTCAGTGTCCAGACAGTTTAATAAGAAGATATTTTATACATACAGTCAACTTCGCGTATACAGGCAGAAGCCATCTTTGAAAAACAGTCTATACCAGTCGATCTACGAACGCCGATCCAAGTGCGCTGGTGAGATGTGAACGAGCTATAAGTTGTGATAAGGTGAGCGCGAACAGCAGGCTTGGATCGGCGTTCGTAGATCGACTGGTATAGACGGTTTTTCAAAGATGGCTTCTGCCTGTATACGCGAAGTTGACTGTATGTATAAAATATCTTCTTATTAAACTGTCTGGACACTGACAAAGTTCTCAATGCTTCGGTTTGCATGTAGGGACCCTCATTATGCTACCGTGCTAGTGTGGGGCTATTTTGAGCCTTGTTAGTGGTATTAACAAGCGATTTTTATTTGTCATTACTCTATGCCCAATATACTAGCGTTATACTAGCTTTATAGGCTAAACTGTTTTTAGAGATAAAACTATTTACATTCGATAATCATGAAAACAAATCTCAGAGAACGGTTGACTAGGTAACAATGTGTAATTAGACCAAAGGTTCATTTTGCGCCGGAGTTCTCCTTTAAACCGAAGAAGAGATCAGGATGGGGAGTTTGTGTCTCTTCCACTTTTTGTGCGCCTCAGTAAATTTGTCACGGGCACTTTTCCCAGTCTGTTTTCACCTTATCTATCTACAGTCTTTCCCATCGCGGTTGCAACCTCTCTCCAGGCATTTTCCAACGCTATTTTATTTGGAGTGTAATTGCGATGAACTGTCAGATAAATGCGGATGTGTACGTATAAGCTCGCATAATTTTTCCTCTTCGCCCGCCATTGTATTCAAACCTTCTTCTGTAAACATAATATACTTGAATTAGGCTCAATCCCAATTCACCCCTTGGCCCTACCCCTTGTTTTCGAGTGTACCCCTTGGCCCTTAAAACAGAGTTACAAGGGCCAAGGGGTTGAAATATTCCCCTACGAAATGGAACAACCCTTCATGAACCCGATACGTCATCAGTCGTCGGCGATGGCTCTGCCGTTACGGAGTTTTTACTGGATTTCTCCATGACAACGACTGACAATCAGCGCAGCTGCTCTTAACTTTGAGGAAACATGATGTTTATAACGTTCCTTCCTCGAAATGTATGACTTTTCTGTTTCGGAAAGGTAATTTATTATACAATTTCTTAATTTAAATGACTATATCATTATTATAAGAGTAAATAAAGTGCACGGTGGTGTCATCTGGCGCTAAATTTAAATGTTTAACCGTTTGTGAAGCCATCTCGCCGGTGATTCGCGATGTATTCTGCGAACTTTCTCGTAGCCCTTTAGAGTGTGCCTCTGAAAAATCTCCGTTTCGAGGGCTATGTAGACCTACCCCTCGATCTAAACAAGAATCGGGACACCCTACCCCTTGACGTGAACGCGCAAAACGGAATGGGTGGATTGGGATTGAGCCTTAATGTACAATACTTGCAATGTCGCCCCCACCGACAACGCATAGTATTGCGTGCATCGGTGCGTCGCGTATCAAAAACTAGGACGACACATTTGGCTACGCATAGACGCATAAGGGCCGTTACATAGTCAACGCGAGCAAGCGACGCGAGCTACACACTCCTTTTCATAGTACGCAAGCGTCACGGGCGATGCGTGAAATGCAATACACCGATCACGCAACAGGGGGTAGTAGAGTCTAGAGTCGGGTCACGTGACATTTAGATCAAAATGGCATCTGAAGAGGAGTGCATATTGCTGATTTTACACATAGACAGTAAAAGAAATGGACAGAGCGACCCCATTGATTTCAACGGAGAAGACTTGAAGCCCGATTATTGCACTTCCTGTCTGATGTCTGAGCGACTGCGCAGGCTCAAACTGAGCGTGACGACAGTCTGGCAGTTGAAAATCTTATAGTAGCTGTGCCAAGACAAATCTGAATCACCTAATTCCTCAAAAACGTTGTCGTAATATTTTGTCCCATTGCTTTTATAGACTCTCTATTTATGGGCTTCTACCTTGACTTTGTGCCTCCATGTCCTCCTGATTGGCTCATAGACAGTTAAAGATTGCCTGCGAGCTTCTCCTCCTGTCTATACGGTAATGTCTCTATTGTGCGACAGAAAGTCCCGTGGTTATGACGCAATCTTTAGCCTATTTTAAAAAAAACGGCTTCTACGGGGCTATAACATAAGATACAAAGTAATGGAACATTTTATACATTGTCGTGTTTCTTTAGAAATTAATAATGGACAAATGAAGTCTTTGGACGCCTCAGATGTAAAGTTATTCGCTGTCAAAGTGACGCCAAAGTGAATGGAAGGCAATGGGATGCTAACAGCAGGCGATGGTCTGCTACAATGGCGGCTCCCGCGAGGCTTCAACTTCCGGCTGATGGATTACCCCCTTGATTTTACATCGGCGGCAGCATTTTTCACCTTCTCCACGGTCTTTCCCATCGCGGTCACAACCTCTCTCCAGGCATTTTCCAAAGCAAATTTATAGGAATGTAATTGTGGCGAACTGTCAAATATATGCGGATGTATACGAACAAGCTCGCATAACTTTTCCTCTTCGCCCGCCATTGTATTCAAATCTTCTTCTTCTGTAAACATAATAATATACCTTTTTATGTACATTACTTGCAATGTCGCCCCCACCGACAACACATAGTATTGCGTGGATCGGTGCGTCACGTATCAAAAACTAGGATGACACATTTGGCTACGCATCGACGCATAATGCCGGCCGAAGCGTAGCGATTTGTAGCCTCGCGCACACGTATGCGTACCGATGCGTTGACTATGTAAGGGCCCTAATGGTGGCCGAAGCGTAGCGATTTGTAGCCTCGCGCACACGTATGCGTACCGATGCGTTGACTATGTAAGGGCCCTTATGGTGGCCGAAGCGTAGCGTAGCCTTGCAGACGCGTATGCGTACCGATGCATTGACTATGTAAGGGCCCTAATGGTGGCCGAAGCGTAGCGTAGCCTTGCGGACGCGTATGCGCACCGATGCGTTGACTATGTAAGGGCCCTAATGGTGGCGCATCGGTACGCATGGTTGGAATGGTTGTTTTTGTTTTTTCCAGCTGTTACCTGAATTACAGGACTGTAGTTATGCAACATATTGATACTATTAGGCTATTATAGACATTTAACTGCTTGTTTTGAACTTCATGCATGTGTATTGAATGTTAAACAAGTTCATAATGATAACAAACAAGACTGTTTATCGTGGTGATGTGTAGCCTACAGAGGCTTCGCACAGACAGTGAATGAGAGAGATTGGCAGAGCGCGTGCGGATTACCTGCGTCTGTCTTTGAAGTCATATGTATTCGTGAAAAAGGTTGCCGTGTCAAAGGAAAGCGAAATATTTGTCGTATCATCCTTTTAACGTTCACGTCACGGGTATTTACCATAAATGCGCGTCAGCAGCAGCGCTGGTCAGCATTCCACAGCGCGAGGAAGCCCCGGTGAAATAAAATCAGCGAGTCACGCATTGAATCAATGCCATATTGGTCTCTAATAAGTGAAGCATCAGCTTCAGCGTTACCCATGCGGCGCATTGCTGCTCAGCTGAGCCTTGAAAAGTGGAACTCAAAGTTAAAAATAATTAACACCTTGTTTCATTACATCTCTTTTAATGAATCAGCTTTTTTGAACGTGTTCGTTGAATGAACGAATGACTCACTCAAAGCCCGTTGTTGTAACAGTGTGCGCGCTGAGTGAAAGCCTTTGCATACAGGGATCTCCCAGTCGCGGCAAGTTAAAGTTCACGGGGAAAATGTAAGCCTATTATTAAATCGATCCTCTGAGTTACGGATTGATCTTTAGAAATTAATATGAAAAACGATTCAGAATTGGTGAATCGATTTTTTCAACACAGCCCTAGTATGCGTACCGATGTGTTGACTATGTAAGGGCCCTAATGGTGGCCGAAGCGTAGCGTAGCCTTGCGGACGCGTATGCGTACCGATGCGTTGACTATGTAAGGGCCCTAATGGTGGCCGAAGCGTAGCGTAGCCTTGCGGACGCGTATGCGTACCGATGCGTTGACTATGTAAGGGCCCTAATGGTGGCCGAAGCGTAGCGTAGCCTTGCGCACGCGTATGCGTACCGATGCTTTGACTATGTAAGGGCCCTAATGGTGGCCGAAGCGTAGCGTAGCCTTGCGGACGCGTATGCGTACCGATGCGTTGACTATGTAAGGGCCCTAATGGTGGCCGAAGCGTAGCGTAGCCTTGCGGACGCGTATGCGTACCGATGCGTTGACTATGTAAGGGCCCTAATGGTGGCCGAAGCGTAGCGTAGCCTTGCGCACGCGTATGCGTACCGATGCGTTGACTATGTAAGGGCCCTAATGGTGGCCGAAGCGTAGCGTAGCCTTGCGGACGCGTATGCGTACCGATGCGTTGACTATGTAAGGGCCCTAATGGTGGCCGAAGCGTAGCGTAGCCTTGCGGACGCGTATGCGTACCGATGCGTTGACTATGTAAGGGCCCTAATGGTGGCCGAAGCGTAGCGTAGCCTTGCAGACGCGTATGCGTACCGATGCGTTGACTATGTAACGGCCCTAATGGTGGCCGAAGCGTAGCGTAGCCTTGCGCACGCGTATGCGTACCGATGCGTTGACTATGTAAGGGCCCTAATGGTGGCCGAAGCGTAGCGTAGCCTTGCGCACGCGAATGCGTACCGATGCGTTGACTATGTAACGGCCCTAATGGTGGCCGAAGCGTAGCGTAGCCTTGCGGACGCGTATGCGTACCGATGCGTTGACTATGTAAGGGCCCTAATGGTGGCCGAAGCGTAGCGTAGCCTTGCGCACGCGTATGCGTACCGATGCGTTGACTATGTAAGGGCCCTAATGGTGGCCGAAGCGTAGCGTAGCCTTGCGCACGCGAATGCGTACCGATGCGTTGACTATGTAACGGCCCTTACGCTACTCCTACATCATACGTCATGCGTCGGGTCAGAGGTCACTCTTCCACCAGAATGTTTGATTTCAATCTGAGATCTCTGACTTATTGCAGCAGTCTAGCACAACTGTTGGGATCTGGACCTTCAGACGGTCAGTCAGCCTGTGTTGATTTCCCATTTCTCTTTCAGATGGCCAATGATAGCACAGAGACCAGTGAAGCAGGAGAGGAGGAAGAGGAACAAGAGGGAGACATTGACAACAAGGAGCGAATGCCCTTCATTCAGTGAACCCCGACACGACCAGAGACTGTCCTGAACCTGAGCTCAGCTCTCTGACCCCGTGCCGTTGTGAAACGTATGTCTGTGTCATGTGTTTGCTCTGTTGTTTGTCTGTATCTTTTGGACGATGCAGTCAGAAATACCCCAAAACACTAATTGTGCTGTTAAATGTTACTTAATGCAGTGTTGAATTGTTGCAGTGTTTCAGGCCAAAACGTTATTATAGGATTGACTTTTCTTGAATGCCTTTTGCAGCCTTTCGGATGTTTTATTTGGCCCTGTCTATCAGTGGATTGACAGATTGCTGCAGTCAAAGTCCAGAATTAACACTTGCAAAGACACAGATGGTTTTGGCAAGTAAATGAAATTGTAACTTTATAAGGAACTGCAGTTCAAAACAGTAGTAGGATTGATAGTATGACTCTCACTGATATATGTGAGTTTAAATCTTCTAACTCTTCTTATGACTTTTACCTCAGTGGGCAATTTACCATCAAGTGTTTATTAAAGGGATAGTTCACTTAAAAATGAAACTTTTGTCATCATTTACTCACCCTCAAGTTGTTTCAAACCTGTATGAATTTCTTTCTTCTGTTGAACACAAAGGAAGATATTTTGAAGAATGTCGGAAACCAGACAGTTGGACCCCATTGACTTCAATAGTAGGAAAAAGAATACTATGGAGGTCAATGGGGCCCTACTGTCTGGTTTCCAACATTCTTCAAAATATCTTTGTGTTCAACAGAAGAAAGAAATGTATACTGGTTTCAAACAACTTGAGGGTGAGTATATGATGACAAAAGTTTCATTTTTAAGTGAACTGTTCCTTTAAGGAAAATATTTTTTGGAATGTTGCTCACAATAAAAGAATATTCACTACAAATGAAAGGGATGAATACCCCAAAAAAGTCAATTCTCTCATCATTTACTCGGCCTTGTGTCCTTCCAAATTTGCGGAACACAAAAGAAGATATTTTTTGAGGAATGTTGGAATGGATGTCTGATAAAAGCCTTGAAGCTGGCAGAAAAATAAAGTCGGTTTACAGTGTGTGTTGCACTTTTCTCTTTTTTGAAGAATGTTAGCAACCAATTACTTCCATTGTACGGACAAACATTTTTTTTTTTTTTGTCATACAGGTTTGGAAAGACATAAGAGTGAGAAAATGATAACAGAATTGTATTTTTTGTGTGAACTATCCCTTTAAGCTTTGTGGACCACATTAGTTGTGGCATAATGTTAATTATCACAAAAAATCATTTTGACTCTTCTTAAATTATTTATATATATATCAAGGTTACAGTGAAGGACTTACTATAGAAGTCAAATAGGGCCCGTTTTTAGAGGATTTAAAAGCAGAAATTTGAAGCTTATAATTTTATAAAAACACTTACCTTACTATTCTGATATTCGAGCTATGAAGCTGTTTACATTTGTATAGTTATCGTAGGGTTATAGGTTTTACGTTTACGTAAGTGATTATTTTAACGTTTATAGATTGGCCCCTTTCACATCCATTATGAGTCTCACTGTGACCCAGATTGTGTTTTTTGTAATGAAAAGGAGGGACGAGTAGAAATGAATTTTTGTGGTAATCAACATTATGCCTCAAATGCTGTAAACTTGAACACAGAACCTGATTTCACATGTTCCTGGATCAGTATTACAATCAACCATTCAGATTTGAGGGACAAGTTTACAGTTTTTGTCAAGTTTAGGCTTAAAGCCAGGGTTAGGAGCTCCTACATGTGTGTTATTCACCAGTCCCCTCTGATTTTAGGGATAACTTACAGTATGAGTTGGGTTTAGGGGTTAGGACTACATTTTCAGACAGTAATGTTGTTCCACGATCAACAAAGTATGTGGGACCAGGAACGTGTCTAACTCTGCAAAATCAAGACGTGCAAACTTGCATGTTCCTTTACGAAAAAAAAAAGTATATCGGATATTTTTCTGACAGGTGCAATGTTTCAGAATATGGCTCAAATATGATTCACATATGAGTAACACGGTGAACACAAGGAAAAACAAGTACATGCAACCATTGTCATATGGACAAACGTTTTTTTTTTTACAAAAATATATTTATTTTATTAAATTAATGCCATAAATTATCTCAATTCACATGCCATTGTTAGGTGTGGCAAGTTAATTTTGGACACTGGTTGCAGTGCTTCTGGTGTGTGTGTGTGTGTGTGTGCGAGTGAGTGAGCGTGTGTGTGTGTCTGTCTGTGAGCGAGCGAGCGAGCGTGTGTGTGTGTGTGTGTGTGTGTGTGTGTGTGTGTGTGTGAGTGTGTGTGTGTGTGTGTGTTTGTGTGTGTGTTTGTAGAGTTCTGCACATGCATCTGTGTTACCGTTTGTTCATCTCAGAACACATTCTGGTGTGTGTGTGTACGAGTGAGCAAGCGAGTGTGTGTGTGTGTGTGTGAGTGAGTGAGAGAGAGAGATAGTGTGTGTGTGTGTAGAGTTCTGCACAGGCATTTGTGTTACCTTTTGTTAATCTCAGATCACATTCTGGTGTGTGTGTGTGAGTGAGAGAGAGAGATAGTGTGTGTGTGTGTGTGTGTGTGTGTGTGTGTGTGTAGAGTTCTGCACAGGCATCTGTGTTACCTTTTGTTCATCTCAGATCACATTCTGGTGTGTGTGTGTGTACGAGTGAGCGAGTGTGTGTGTGTGTGTGTTTGTAGAGTTGTGCACAGGCATTTGTGTTACCTTTTGTTAATCTCAGATCACATTCTGGTGTGTATGTGTGAGTGAGCGAGTGAGTGAGTGAGTGTGTGTGTGTGTGTGTGTGTGTGTGTGTGAGTGAGAGAGAGAGATAGTGTGTGTGTGTGTGTGTGTGTAGAGTTCTGCACAGACATCTGTGTTACCTTTTGTTCATCTCAGATCACATTCTGGTGTGTGTGTGTGTGTGTGTGTGTAGAGTTCTGCACATGCATCTGTGTTACCGTTTGTTCATCTCAGATCACATTCTGGTGTGTGTGTGTGTGTCTACGAGTGAGCGAGTGAGTGTGTGTGTGTGTGTGTGTGTGTAGAGTTCTGCACAGGCATCTGTGTGATCTTTTGTTCATCTCAGATCACATCTGAACATATTATTTAAGCCTTTAAAAAGACATTTAAATGAGTTGTCATGATCAGTATTGTCCTTAAAGAAACAGTTCACCTCAAAACTCATCATTTACTCACCTCACCAGACCCATATGACTTGCTCTCCTATGAAGATTGTTCACCCTGCTCGTTTCCATACAGTGGGTGAGTAAATGATGACAGAACTGTGTTTTTTGGGTGAACTGTCCCTTTAAAGAATCATGAGTAAATGTTCAAAGTCTGGTATCATCTTCAAACTAATAACCAACAACAACAAACATGAAAAATACATTCTTAGTGCCTTATCTGCACTGAGGACCAGAAGGCTTTTTCTTTTTGTATTTCATGGAGAATAGACATTTTAATGAAATTATTTAATGATTTAAATCTATTCTGGCCTACATATACCTCATAAATGATAACTTTGATTGTGTTCTCATGTGGTATTATATTTTTGTTATGTTTACGCTATTTCCCCCCTCACAAATTAGTGTTTTAATTCAACTCTTCTCTAATAATTAAACTAGTTGGCTTTATATAGAATATATACATAAACAGCCAGTCTGATAGTGTTTTACTTTACAATAAGCAAGATGGAATGACTTACACATGAGCAACAAATGACTGATAATAATGACACATTTACCCTCTTTCTAAACAAATGAAGTTGTTTTTTGCTTGTTGTTACATGACTGAGTGCATTATATGGAAATCAGACGTACTGTATGTGACAGCATCCTTCCTGTTATAATTTTGGGTTACAGTTATTTGAGATTTGTCTAAAAACTTGCCTTAAAGATAAAGCACTACATTTGTGACGTGTTTTAGCCGATCTCAGCTCAAGACGCACGAGAGTATAATGTTGCTGTGTAGTTTTAGTCAGTAGACGTGCTTTTGTGTTAGATTGTGATAGGTTGCAAACACATGAAATCTGAATAAAATGTTGTGCAGAGCATTTCCCGTGGAGTGCGCATTGGTGTTTATGCCATTAAAATGCTGTTCCGCGCATCAACCAAATAACATTTGACACGGCAAATCTGATGTTTTGCAGCAATGATAATGTCAGCGCTGACTGAAGCATGACACACACAAATGCTCGACTGTTTTCTCTCCGTAACCCCAGAGGTTGCTCTCACAAATGCCACTGAGGAAATGAACAGACTCGCTTTGCTCTTTTCAGTTCAAAATATCACAGTTGGTGGCCTTTGCAAGGTTTTGCTATTCAGAAAACTGAAATTTGACTATGATAAGAATGTGTTTGACCTTCCCCATTGATTTTCTAACCGCCACTGTGGTAATGGAAATATTTGCCAAAAAAAAAAAAAAATCCCATTGGTTTATGTGAAAAATAGTTATAGTCACAAATATCTTCTGGATTACCTCACAACAAAAATGAACATTTAAAAGTTTTTTTAAAAGCTTTAAAGCTTCAAAAAGGAAACAAAAACACCAGGTATTTTAAAAGTGGTCAGTAGGCCTATGTGCACTATTTCAAGTCTGAAAACTTATATTTGTTTCTTTTATTTGTTTTTTTTTTGTGAGGAATAGATTGAAATGTGATAACACTTTACTGTAAAAACAGCATCAGAGACTGACACGGAAGATAATTCTTTTTTTTAATAAAGTTGTTATTTTTGTTTTGGTGTTTTTTTGCGCACAAAAAGTATTCTCGTCGCTTCGCAACATTAGGGTTGAACCACTCTAGTCACATGGACTATTTTAACAATGTCTTTACTTCCTTTCTGGGCCTTGAATCAGAAAGCTCTCGGATTTCATCCAAATTATCTTTGTGTCCCGAACATGAATGAAGGTCTTACGGGTTTGTAACGGCGTGACGGTGAGTAATTAATGACAGAAATGTCATTTTTGTGTGAACTGTCCCTTTAAGAGTTCCAGTCTGGGAAAACTTGGAAGCATCACAGAATTTTGACATGTAATTCCCTGGTTGGAAAAGCTTTGGAAATGAATACAATCATAAGTCATGGATTCAACCGAATTCATGAGTTTAAAGATGTGGGAATCCTGTCTGACTGAAAATACTTTACAACCATCAGATCAGAGCTCAGGAATGACACCAATCTAGGCTTCGAAAAAGCTCAATTCTGGTGAAATTATATTTATGTTCTGTTTACATAAAAACACGAATTTGGCTGTCAAAATATTATTCCTTCTAAAAAGAGAAGGAGCCTTTAAATGCTCTTCAGGGCACATGTCATGGGTTTCAGACACACAGTGAAAGATATTCCCTTTGGGCTGTTTGCTCTTTTTTTTGCACTCGTCTCTCCACTCCCTTCATCTCACAGCATCACGCTCTAAAATTAGCCGAGAACACAGAGCTCTGGACTGGACTTCCCTGATCAACAGACCCTCTGTCTGCAACTCCACCGACATCAATGCCAACTTATCCTCAACACAAGAGAGTTATGTAACGAATTCATAATTGTGTAATATATCTTCGTGGTTAAAACAAAGGAAATTATTTATTAAATTATTTTATAATTATTTAATACATTTGTCTTTACAAAAAAATCAATATAAATATTTCGATTAATCAGCATTGGTTAAAACAAATGAAACTTTTTTTTTAGCTAAAAAACAATAATTGTGTTTGATCTAATCAACATTTATGAATTAAAACAAATAACGTTTTATTTGGACATTTTCAGATGGAATCAATTATGAAAATTGAATATGTAGCCTACAGCATTGCAAAACAACAAATGAAGATGAATGCTATGTAAAAATAATACAATTAAAAGAAAAAATATTTACAAAGGACTGAAACTGAAATATGATTTCTTTAAAGTGCTCATATTATCCTTTTTCAAATATCACCTTTAATGCAGTGTGTAATAAAGCTGTTGCAAAAGGGATGCACAAGGTCTGCAAAGTTTTAAAAATCGAAGTGCATGACAAATAAAAGCCCTGTCCCAAATGGCGCACTTCATGCGGACTTTCGGTCTCGTGGACTTAAATTGCGCGTGCTCGCCGAGTCTACGAGTCCGTAGCCGTCCCATTTAGCATTTTAACGCTCTGAAGTGAGAAAATCCCGAACTCCCCACTGGTATTTACGACATTGTGGTGGCGTTCAAGTGCGTTCAACTCGTAAATACGATCTATACGAGATGACTTGAACGCACCATCAGCAGCGCCCCCTTTGTACCCAAGGGGGTAATCCATCGACCGGAAGTTGAAGCCGGCCGGGTGCCGCCATGTTGTAGCAGAACTTCACTTGCGTTAGCATTTCCATTGACTCCCATTCATTTTTGCGTCACTTTGACAGCGAATAACTTCACATCTGAGGAGTTTAAAGACTCCATTTGTCCATTATTTATTTCTAAAGAAACACGACAATGTATAAAGTGCTCCATTACCTTCTATGTTACACTATGGCCCCGTAGAAACAGATTTAGTAAAAATAGGCTAACGATTGCGTCATAACCACTCGACTCTCTGTCGCGCTGTACAGAAATTACCGTACAGACAGGAGGAGAAGCTCGCAGGCAATCGGGGGGACGTCCCGTCAAGGGAGAAGCCCGTAGATAATGAGTCCATAAAAGCAACGGAATACTTACTCCTGCTCACTCACGCCAAATAACTCTTTGCTCAAGTTCCCCGTCTCTGCAAGATTAACGTTGCCAATTTTCACGCACAGCTACTAGAAGATTCACGTCTGTCAGACAGGTTGCTCACGTCATCAAGCTTAGTTTGAGTCGGTTTGAGTCTGCGCGTCAGGAACGGAAGTGCTCAAAAATCGCTAAAAATGGGCTTCAACTGTCTCAAGTTCCAATGAGATGGCTCTGTCCACTTCTTATACTGTCTATGTTTGTACCCTTGAAGCGGTCTTCCGCGAAGCCCGCATGCTCCACGCACTTTAACTACCCAGGAATCCTTGCGAAAGGCCAATCAGACAACGGATGTTAACATGGCTGAGAAGAAAATATTTAAGTGTAATTATCATTACGGTTTTTATGACAAGTTTATACAAACATTATGATCATCGACCAGTGGTTGATGTCTCAAACATAGGCTAATAATAGCGAGCTGAATAATACGATCGCATTATGATTCATTAAATTAATAGAACAGAATGTCAGGGCTTTCCGGAGTCATATGTAAACACAACAACAATAGGCAGCATATTTCCCCGAACCTGTAGCTCCTGTCCATAACAACAACCAGACCGTCTTCCTGTTTCCGGCGTGACGATCGACTCTGGCCCTGTCCCAAATGCCACACTCCGGACTTGTGGACTTCCTCAGAGTCCACACTTCGGTGACGTCATGTAGTGTAGACCTATAGAGCCCTTAGCGCGAGTCCGCGAGGGCGCATTGAGAGGTATTTTTGGGACAGACTCGATCGTCACGCCGGAAACAGGAAGACTGTATGATTGTTGTTATGGACAGGAGCTACAGGTTCGGGGAAATATGCTGCCTATTGTTGTTGTGTTTACATATGACTCAGTAAAGCCCTGACATTCTGTTCTATTTATTTAATGAATCATAATGCGATCGTATTATTCAGCTCGCTATTATTAGCCTATGTTTGAGACATCAACCACTGGTCGATGATCATAATGTTTGTATAAACTTGTCATAAAAACCGTAATGATAATTACACTTAAATATTTTCTTCTCAGCCATGTTAACAATTGTCCGTGAGAGAAATCTCCTCCCATCCGTTGTCTGATTGGCCTTTCGCAAGGATTCCTGGGTAGTTAAAGTGCGTGGAGCCTGCATCTATGCGGCTTCACGGAAGACCGCTTCAAGGGTACACAGGGGGCGCTGCTGAGCACACTTCAGAGCGTTAAAATGCTAAATGGGACGGCCTACGGACTCGTAGACTCGGCGAGCACGCGCAATTTAAGTCCACGAGACCGAAAGTCTGCATGAAGTGCGCCATTTGGGACAGGGCCTGTGTCCCAAAAATACCTCTCAATGCGCCCTCGCGGACTCGCGCTAAGGGCCCTATAGGTCTGCACTACATGACGTCACCGAAGTGTGGACTCCGAGGAAGTCCACAAGTCCGGAGTGTGGCATTTGGGACAGGGCCAAAGTCTTCTTTGAGCCTCAAACACTGTAGCTGAGGCCTTGAGGTATTTGGTTCGTGTTGTTGACATGTTGCTATTTTGATTGCACTTCAAAATGACGAGGACTCCAATTGATTTGGAAAAACTAACGCCATCTTTACCGTTCGTAACTTCGCATCACTGTGTCTACAAGTGCCGAGGAAGATCCGGAGCTAGACTTCAGATATGGCAATAAGCGTTTCATCTCCGACCAATCACAACAGACTGGGCCCTCTGACCAATCAGAGCAGAGTAGACTCTCGGAAAGGCGGGGTTTAGAGAGAATCTTCAAACAAACCGTTTTCAGACCCGGTGGGAAATGAAGTGATGCTGCAATGTATATTATGAGAAAATGAAAGTGCTTTTTGACCTTAGATGCATGTAAACCTATAGGAGACTCCAAAAACAAACCTTTAAAATAGCATGATAGGGACACTTTAATCCATGACATAACATGCAAGGTAGTGAATGAGTTTTCTTGTTGGGTTATGAATGGGAAAACGACCCCCCAAAAAAATTCTGTGTGCTTTCCGAGTAAATATTTTTGAATGGCTGGAAACAGGGGAAGGGTTGTTGTGACTGCACTGAAGGTATTTGAATTCCCTTTTAGGTACACACAAACACTCAACGTCCAGCCAATAGCGTGAGAGTGTGGAAGGGAGAAAACGGTAAGACTTGTCCATATTTCTCGCAGTGATTTTAAACAGCTCGTCCATGACCATGGCACGACCTGGGCTTCTGCTTCTGGTGATCTGCTTCAGCGTTCTCCACGACGGGTGTGGACGTCCCTCTCGCGCCGAGAAAGCAGTTCCAGCTCAACAGAGAGGTAACTACTATAGGACATATATGTTTATCCTCATTGTAGAAAACAGTAACTGCAGTCAGCAACTTCATCTAACCTGTGTTCTGTCGTTCTTCTGTTGAGATACAGCTTCAGAAGATGATGACATGAGGACACAGATTGACAAGCTGTGGCTGGAAATCAACTCTCTGAAAGAGATGCAGGCACTGCAAACAGGTTAACAGTAATACACGCAAAATTTCATTTAAAAAGCTCTCCATGCTTATTGTTTCACACCGCAAGCATCAGCAAAGCATATTCTCACGCCGCCCATGTTAATAAACGAGAGATATGACATCAGAAGTGTCTCTACTCTTGTTGATACACTTTACTTTAGTCCACTTTAGACGTTCTACCAAGTAAGGAATAATTGATAATTGAAACAAGTCGTCATTTATTACGCGTAAACTACGGTTACCACGCCTCAAGACATTGTATTTCAAGACATTTGTCAGGTTTTTGTCCTTTAAAAAGCTCTTGTGTGTATAGGACTCATCTCATTCCATGCCTCCGTTGCTACTCTCAAGTTCAACTAATTGCATTTGTTTAAACTAAAATACATTTTCATGTCATTTTAAATAGCAATAATGTCCGAAAAAAATTACATTTAAAGGAATAGTTCATTTAAAAATGAGAATTCTGTCATCATTTACTCACCCTCAAGTTGTTTCAATCCTCTATGAATTTCTTTCTTTTGCTGAACACAAAGAAAGATATTTTGAAGAATGTCGGTAACCAGATAGTTGGACCCCATTGACTTCCATAGTAGGGAAAAAATACTATGGAAGTCAATGGGGTCCATCAACTGTCTGGTTACCGACATTCTTCAAAATATCTTCTTTTGTGTTCAGCAGAATGAATAAATGTGTACAGGTGTGAAACAACTTGAGGGTGAGTAAATGATGACAGAATTTACATTTTTAAGTGAACTATTCCATTTATACTCTTTTAAAGTAGCTATATTATTACTCTTTAGTCTTTTTAAAAAGTGTATTTAAGGTTTGACTGTAAATGATGGAGGGAAACTATCCAGTGATGTAAAATGATGTAGATTTTCTGTCACTGCAGTTTACCTGATGAGGACAGCAACATGTCTTTCAGGGAGAAATCTGGGATTGGGATTCATCCAGACCCTTAAAAACATGTACCGTGGTAACCCTAGTTCTCACCATGGTCACTACACTCTAAAAAATGCTGGGTTGTTTCAACCCAAATTAGGGTCAAATATGGACAAACCCAAATGTTGGGTTAAAAATGTAATTTAAAATTTTAACCCAACTTCAACTTTCACTTTCAACTGTACATTTTTTAATTAAATTTTTAACCCAACATTTGGGTTTGTCCATATTTGACCCAACTTTGGGTTGAAACAACCCATCATTTTTTAGAGTGTACAGTTATTACTGTGAAGCTGGAACGTATTCATATTGTAACAGTGTGCTTTCAGAGCATCTTTACATTTCTTTCTTTTTTATATTTAAGACAGCGGTGATGACTATGAAGATACTACAGATTTATAGTTGTAATAATAGTGGTAATAATACCTATTTTGGTGGAAACTCAGGTTGATCTTTAAATGAAGCTGACTGAACATTTCATAACTTGGTGTAGACAATTATTTTACATATTATATGCCATTCAAAAGATTAGAGTAAAAACGTTTTTTTTCATCCAGCAAGGACACATTTAATCAAAAGTGTTACAAAAGATTATATTTCAAATAAATGAACTTTCAATTCACCAAAGAATCCTGAAAAAAATGTGTCATGGTCTCCACAGAAATATTAAGCTGTTTTCAAGATTGATAATAATAATCAGAAATGTTCCTTTAGCAGCAAACTCAACATATTAGAATGATTTCTGAAGGATCACGTGACACTGAAGACTGGGGTAATGATGCTGAAAATCAGAGAAATAAATTACATTTCAAAATTATTACAATATTACTGTTTTTACTGTATTTTTGATTGAATAAAGGAAGCCTTCAAGAGACGTCTTTCAAAAACATTTAAAAAAAATCTTACCAACCCCAAACTTTCGGACGATAGTCTACATATTTATAATAGATTTATTTATGAGATATAGGCCAAATGTGTTTCTTAATGAATGTTATGAGAGACTAAAATGGTGTTTGACAGATGTGTATATAAAAACTGTCAAAAGAATGAACAATGTAAGGGCTTGCTAGTGCTTTGTCTTTGGCAAGTTTTTTAGTAGTTAGTAGTTATGTTTATTAGTAGTTAACTCTCCGTTTTTTAAAGGACCTTTAGCAATAATGATGGGAATAATGGTGATTTCCTGGTAACACTTTACATTAAGATCAATTAACATTACTTAATGCATTAACTAACATGAACTAACAATGAGCAATACATTTGTTACAGTATTAATCTTTGTTAATGTTAGTTAATAAAAATACAGCTGTTCATTGTTTGTTCATGTTAGTTCACAGTGCATTAACTAATGTTAACAAATACAACCTTCAATTTTAAAAACATATGAGTAAATATTCAAATTATTATTAATAAATGCTGAAAAAGTATTGTTCATTCTTAGTTCATGTTAACTAATGAACCTTATTGTAAAGTGTTACCGATTTTCTAATAATAACAGTAAAAGTGCTTCATAAATAATGATGGAAATATGCACATGGTAAAGCAAACTCAAACTCAAAGTTTACATGAGTGAATGTTTTGTCTACTTTTCAGTTTGCCTGCGTGGCGTTAAGGCCCACAGGAAGTGTTACCTGGTTTCTGAGCAGGTCAAGCACTATCATGAGGCCAACGAGGACTGCATCGCTCAGGGAGGAACCCTGGCCATTCCTCGAGACATGAGCGAAAACGACCAGCTCAGAGACTACGCCAAGCGCAGCTCGCCTGGATCCAAAGATTTCTGGATTGGCATCACAGACATAGTGAAGGAAGGCCAGTATGTGGACGTGAACAGCCTGCCCGTCTCCTTCTTCCACTGGGACCGATCCAAGAGAGAGCCCAGCGGGGGGAAGAGAGAGAGCTGTGTTACTCTCTCGCTGGCGGCTCAGGGGAAGTGGCACGACGAGGTCTGTCGCAGCCAGAAGAAATACATCTGTGAATACCTGATTCCATGATGTGCGTCTCACGTGCCTTAACGATGGTTGTTAAAGATATAGACAGCCTGTCATTTAAGATGCTCATTAAAAACGAAACAGTCAATGGTAATATGATGTGCCCTCTTTATTCACTGTAAATGGGGAGAACTAAACACTTAATGTGGTTGACAGTGATTGATTTTCGAGGCAGCAAAACATGTTTCCATATCAAACATTTTAACCTGATTTAGGTTGAAAATAATTTACAATATGCCTAAGAGAGGGGACATTCCAACAATGCAAAACATAACGAATTCAGATTAATGTTATAGGAAAATAAAATTCAGTAAAAATTAAAATAATAAAAACAGATTAACATTAGAGGATTTAACTTGTTTAGGAAAATCTAAATGCCAATATAAGTCTTTAACAGTATTTTCAATATATATATATAAAGATACCATATATTTTCTATAAGTATGTATTATATTGAAAATATCTGGTATTTGTTCTATTGAAGTTCAGCTATGAAATGTAAAAAAAATGAAACCTGAAAAAATAGCTATATATTATATAGGTTTAATATGAACCAAAAACATTACTTTTCATTACAGAAAAATAAATGTTAAATTAATTTGAAAAAATATATAAAAAAACTTTATTTTATTTCAGCTAGTTGCCAAAGCAACATTTTAAATTCTTGAAGTATTAAAATAATTAAACCTAAATAAACTGAAATAAAAAATAAATAATAAAAACTATAGATATATGTAAAAAAATATATATACAAACTAAAATTAATAATAAAATTTTACAAAACTATAATAGTAGGCCACTGCTAATAACACTGCTATTTATAGCTCTCCAGAAAACTTAAGAAATTTGAATTTGATCTATTTTGATCTTCAAGAGAGAAAAGCTTTTGCAGAAATTCATCCTAATGAACACAAGAGACAGTTGTCTGAAGAAAGTTGTGAAAGACGTGTGTACACTTTTTGAAAGTAGCCTAGGCTATAATAGAAAATGATAAACTTTTAACAGGCCTAAATAACGACTAGCTTGAGATTGCAAAATACAATTTATTAGCACTTATTTAATATTATTTCTAATAAAATGTTCCAATACTTATTTTGTGTGTGTGAATTCTGTCCTCCAGTCCAAACTAAAATACCAATGTTGGGAAAGAAGTAAACACAATAAACCACACTGGCATATTGAAGGCAAAGGTCAGTTTATATAACGAAAGCAGACTTTAATCGAAAGGTTAAAGTGTGGGCAAGCTTTGTATTTCATAAATATAAGGCATGGTCTCATTTTAGATCCCAATAATTTGATATTTCCTAACTTCCACTTCACACTTTCAGCTGTTTGATATTGTAGAACACAGAGTCACAGACAAACAGAGAGAGTGTCGGAAGTGACGCAGATTGATGTGAAGTCTCGCGAAAGTGCGTGGCGGCCATTTTTCCTCCATTGATTGCTGTTTTTGCTTACAGTCCAAGCAGTAAGAAAGTAACACCGATTAAGCTGGATTACGAGCCATTTAGCCTAAAAGTTGTTTATTCGATATCGACTAGTTTTGCCTAGCACGCTCAGAATGGAGTCCCGAAGCGACTCGCAGAGCTCCTGTTGACAGCGGACCGCGGCTGGAGGATCAGATGGAAATGGTGCCCAGCGAAGAAAAGCAGCTTGTGCCCAAAGAGGTGAGAGATGATCCACCTCAAAATACAACAGAGAAATCTACATAAACCGCACTATGAGCCAGAGATTCGCGTTTAAATGAAGGCAGGGAGAGACAGGAAAGTGCGTGTCAGGATCAGTTCAGCTGCTAGCAGGAGAGTGTTAGCAGCAGCTCAGCTAACTATCAGTCAACAAGTCCTTCCAACACATTAAATACGTTATAACTACTTGAGTCCGGTGATTCATGTGATTGATAGGCCAGATAACCTGTTGTCATGTGTGCTGTACGACTGTTTACTCTGTACACAGCCTGTAAAGTATCCCGCTGGAGTGAGTTTCAGAGGTGCTAAGTGTGCGCCATAGTTTATGTTAGCCGCTCAGATTAGACTGGGTGATTTAATCCACATCACTTTATTTATGCACATGTTTCAGATTGATTAAGGTGACGTTCACTGCTAAAACAATGTGTAATATCAACACCCGTCAATCAGATTTACCTGTCCAATAAAACCTATTCTGATCAATTCGGATCAAATATACGGTTTCAAATTGAATCTGCATTGCTTTATTTGCGGACATGAGTCAGATCAGATGGGAATCGAGTTTTTTTTTTATTATTATCAATGCCTAAAGAGCAAAACAGAGAGTTTATTATCATTTGTTTTGAAACTATGCTGTGCCTATTTTTCGTTTTACTCTATTTGGTTTGGATTTCCATGCAGGTAAATAAGTTCTATTATTAAAGTGAAAATCATTCAACCTGAATATTCATTCAACAAAGGACAAATTGTATTTATAGAAGGCTCAAAAAGTAAAATACGAACATAATTAATGGCAGTATCATGGTATATGTTATTCCAAAGAATATCAGCACAAAAACATGTTAGTAACTAGTTGTTGAGTGAATTGATGGCTGATGCCGATATCTTGGGGGCCGTTTACATAACACCATTTTCAACCAAAAATTTAAATTTTTTAATGTGTTTTGGCCATTCATTTACATGACAATGGCATTTTGGGGGTCTGAAAACACAAACATTTGAAAACGGGTTTCAAAGTGTTCGTTTTTAAAAATGATACTGTTATCGTCTCCGTGTAAACTACAAAAACGTGAATTTGTGAAAACGGTGATGTCATGTGCTTTCGTATTTTACGTGTTCAGTCTATAGTCGCGTAGTTTTTCTTTACAAAGTGACATCGCCAAATACTGGCCTAGCAGCAGAATACAGCATTTTTAGCCGTTTTTGCGGATCTGTGTGAACGGGATCGTTTTGGCAACATTGTCGTCTGTACAAAGAAAAATCTTTTCTCTATTTAGTACATCATTTTCGTGTAAACGTACCCTTGGAGAGCAGCCGACATGTATGATAGTTTTTAATTTAAAGATAGTAAATAGCATATGTTGATGTTTAGGCCTATTTTACGCGATGCTTATTCAATTAGAAAGAACTGGAAAATAGATTTTTTTTTTTTTTTACAAAAGTCAAATAATTATAAAATTATAATTAGATGGCAACCTTCTGATTCTGTAAAAACCCCGTCCTGCTTTGGATGTACAGAAAAACTTATCAGCCAATACCGATAATTAAAAAATGCAAAATTTTCCAATTATCGGTTGATATATTGGCCAACCCATAATAAAAGCAGTTCTTTTTGGTATGTTTTTTTTTTTTTTTAGTTCCCCAGGTTGCTTCACTAAATAATTGATGCAAAAAAAAAAAACACCGTCTGATAATATAAACACTTTGACTCAAATATGATCCTTTATCAGTGTCTTTGTTTTGGCTGTTTACATGGTTGTCATTGTTGGTGATTTAAATTCACTGTTTAGATATCCAGTGCATCAGGGATTCAGACTAAATTTAGAGCAGGAACATGTAACAACAAAATAGTCATTGGACTTAAGCCTGAAATGAATGAGTCAGTTTGATCCTATTTGATCGTATAAATTGGTCTGCAGGATTAACGTGACCTTCACTGGCTCAGTACCAATTACCGCATGAATCTGTCTCTTTTATAGCGGGATGTGACACTCCCACACTCTTTTTGTGGGTTATGGTTGCTCTGATGACAACACCTGCTGGAAATCTAGGGCCCTATGATTTCCGTGATGCGGAAAACGCGGACGGAATCACGGAATTTACACATGAAAACGGAATTCTCTTATACACGCGGAATCGCACGGAATTTGCATATATTTTGTTGCCATATTAAATAAACAATTTTTTTGGACTTCCTTTTTCCTTTTTCAGTTTAAAACAACAAACGTAGGAAGGTTTCTACATAACCCGTGGCCAAATGGCATTGTTTTAAACATGTTGCCTAGTAACCATAACCATACGTCCTCAAGTTCCCGCGTAGGGGAAAAAATGTCGAAGCGAGTGGCTCCTGATAAGGTAACGGTGTCGAAAAAATTAAGAAACTCTCAATTGACTGCTAAATACCGGGCTGAACAATACCCCAACGACTACTATGAGTCTGGACAACAACTGTTTTGTAAGTTTTGTCAACATACTGTTGACTGGACCCGCAAAGACACATGTAACGACCATTTGATATCAAAAGTTCATCTCAAGAACAAAGCTAAATCCACAGCGGGCAAATCCCTCCAGGTTACCATTGATGCAACGACAAAAACAACAGAAGCAAGGCGTGAGTTTGTGGAAGATTTTGTTGCAATGTGTGCTGAAGCTGACATACCGCTTGAGAAAATGAAGAGGATACGTCCGTTTCTTGTTAAACATTGCAAGCAGGGAGGCGCACTCCCAGAAAACCCCAGCAGCCTCAGGCAGACCCACCTGCCGCGGGTCTTTGACCAGCACATGCAAAAAGTCCTGCGAGAGATCCGTGGAAAGAAATTCTTCGTTGTTGTCGACGAAACCTCTGACAACCGAGATCGAAGTGTCCTCAACATTGTTATAGGTGAGCATCCAATTAGTTTTAATCAGCATATGAGCCTATTTTAACTAGGATTTATATACAAATTTTAATATACAGGGATGCAAACAGCGCACTTCTTCTTGGTGCGTATCTTTTACTCTGATGGCTGGGGTCTCCAACACGTCGCTCGCGAGCTACTACCAGTAGCCTGATTGGAGGTAACTAGCTCATCAAGCTAGTCGTTGTTCACGTCGTGTCTTTTGCGCGCTCAAGTTCGTTATTTCAAATGTAGGCGCGCGGTAAGCGCGCTCATAATCGCTCATTTTTTCCAGGCGCAGCGAGATGAAAACACCTCAACTCTTCAGAATGCCGCAAGCGCACCGCAGTTCATGTGACAAGAACCAACATATCAGCTTCTCCCTTTCCGTAACAACATTGAAAGCTCAGTCAACATAATAAAGGATAGGGGTGCACCCATCTCTTCTCCGTAAATAAATCTTGTAGCAGAGCTACAGCAAGCGTTTTTCGGTGGTGGAAATCTATTAGCTACTAAAACTTCTTTCT